GGAAGCCCTTATTAAGACCTGCCAACACAGTCAGACGAAAGAAGTGGGCAAGTGATATGATGACCAAACCTCTGGAATTTTGGAAGACCGTATTTTTCTCAGACGAATCAAGATTCGCTCAATTTTTGGACAGTGGAAGGATATGGGTCTGGAGAATGCCTCACCAACAGATTGCAGCCAACTGTGAAGCATGGTGGTTTCAGCGTGATGGTTTGGGTTGGTGGGAGATCAAGCTTAGTGGAGTGTGTTGGCAACATAAATTTTGCGAAATACGTCGAAATATTGGAGGAAGGACTCTTGCCACTTTATTTTTCGGGTTTCGTGGACAAGAACACAACGTTGTTCCAGGAAGATGGAGCACTGTGTTACACTGCTAGAAACACCCGAAAGTGGCAGGAAGAAAATGGTATCCAGAAGTTGCCCTGGCCGAGTCAATCTCCTGACATAAACCCCATCGAAAACTTCTGGGCCATACTCGACCAGCAAGTCAAGAAACAACCCAAAAAACCAACTTCGAAGAGTGATCTACTCCAAGTTTTGAAGCAAAAGTGGGCGAAAATCCCACAATCTAAAATTGACGAGATGATTCTCACTATGCCCCAAAGGATCAACGAACTCCATGAAGCGAAAGAAAGATCTATTAGATATTAATTAAATTATAAATATATCAATTCATGTGAATATGACTGAAAATTTTCATTTTTTCTGTAAAGGTGGTGTCTATTTACTTGTGACCACGCTGTGTATGTATGTATGTATGAATATATATATCATGTCTGATTAACATTACAGAAGTTGCAATGATGTGGCACACGTGCACTCGTGTTACCATATCCGATACTATAAACTGGCCTTTACAAAGTGACCTGTCTTGGCTTTGTTCTAGTGGACCAGTATTTTGTAAAATACAATCACCTTTTTGTTATAATACATTATATATGTGTATATATTATTACTATTTACAAATAAGTTCTTGAATTTCAGTTATTTTTCTTAAAACATGGAACAGTAAATAAAGAAGTATAGAAACAATTATCTCTTTATGTTATGAACTTTGTACTCCTTTTGCCTCGTGTCGTAGGTTGCTAAGCCTTGTAAAATTTTGCATGTGAAGGATGTAAAACAAAATAATATTTTTAGGTTTTATATATGCATTTTGAAATAACAAAAAATCATTATAACTTATCAGGCTTAGTAACTAAGCTATATTTGGGTCTAAATAGAAATATGATATTTGAAACAACATTTTCACTTACCCCTTCCTTCCAAGATTTGAGACAAAAGAAATAATCTTGGGTACTTTCCACCTTAAACAGTCTGAGAAAACCACATGGGGGGAAATTCTGAGCTTTTGATGTTTATAAAGCCATAGCAGAGTGAAGCAGGTGTACGTAAAGAAGTATTTCCAAAAATGGAAGAAATGTGTGGGGCCGCTTTATTTGATTCGCTAAATATAGTGACATCGCAGCAAATAGAAAAGATGGGAGGTTCTTATTATATATTCTAGCTTGTCAATATCGGTAATTTGAGTTCTGAACTCGTAAGAAACTATAGATGTTGTATTTGGACTTCACAAACATCTAATTTGAGCCAAAGCTGCATTACACATACCACACACAAATCTATGTTTAGGAATTTTTTTTATATTTACCTTTAAATTAAGAAATTAATTAAAGTATAATACTAAACTTTTAATTAGAATCTACAATTTGATACCAAACTTATTGACATAAATTCATACAATAGTAATTCTGATATGGTACTTACCTCCTCTTACAAGGTTAGCAATTCTCGTTCAGTGCTGCCCTCTATATGCGAATATTATTTTCACATGTCACAAGCTTCCACTCCCCCCTATTGGAATTGCAAGATTCCAATATGTCTCTCATACAAGTCATCATGCGTCACCTCCTCAATAATAGGAGCATGATATGCTCACATGATGTATGTGACTCCCTCTACATTCCTCTTCCAAACTATCATTTCTCGTCTGGCAGCAATTCTGTTTGGACGTGCTCTTTTGTTTGTTTAATGCTTCATGTTTGGCTTTGTTTCCTCACAAGTGGTTGTTTTTTAAATCAACTTGCTTTCATTCAGCCTGTTTCTTCTATTAGTATTTATCATTTAATTCTAGTTTGCTAATTTCCTGCAATCTTTCTGTGCAATGAATTCCGAAGTTAACATTACCGCCTCGGGGGTTACACCAGCAACCATCGTTTTTTCTCAGGCCTCATGTGAGGGTTACTCGATGGTGGATTTATCTGCTTTTATACGCCAGTAAATTGAACATTACATGGGACAACCCTTGGCCCCCGGACATTGGCCAGTCTCCTCAGGAGCAGGATAATCCTGTGCAGGCTGATGAGATTTCGATTGTCTTTTCTACCTCCAGATTTTGTCATTCCTTCCGATTCCAAAACCGATGAGTCTACTAGGCCTTATGCAGTCTTTAGGGATTTTGTGTTTCATGTTTGTGATGTTTTATCCCTTTCACCTATTTTTCATGCACCTCATCCTTCCTTCTTGCATGAATAATATTCCCAACCCCTTTTTGGTTTTTCCTTCCTCACCTGATATTCGGGCTCATGCCTCACAATTAAGTGAGGAGCTTAGCAAATCTGTTACAGTATCTTTCTTCCATACACCTCCTATCTGAGGCTCTCCACAAAATTCCTGAGGTGTTTTCAGGAGATAACCTTACCCTTTTCTACTCCACTTTAGCCCACATGTTGACTTCAGCTCTGTCATTACATACATGGTTTCTTTGTTTTTGGGACCTTGTAGGTCACTATGCCATATTGGCTCGAATCCATTCACCCTCAACATATCTTAAGGATTTATGCATGGCCCCATTTTTGAGACGTTATGTTTTTGATATGGTCCCAGAAACTAGAGCCTCAGGTGTTTTCAGGCCAACAACAATCCACCCTTACAAATATCGTAGCCCATTTGTCTCAGTCAGATCCTCATATGCCTCCAATTACCTCTTCCCATCCTTGGCCTTTCCTGTCCTTTCTACTCAGAGTACTTCTTCTTGTCATTTTCCTCGATGATGCATCCACTATTGCCACCAGTACCAGTGACTACCCAGTGGGTTCGGGTCTGGTTGGGCTTGGCTGTTCGAGTTTCTTCATTGCTGGCGTTCATTCGTCAGCAATCAATGGGTGCTTCAGGTTCTGTCAGAAGAATTTATTGTCCAGTTTCTTTCCCCACCTCCTGTCTCTCTTTACCTCATTTCCTTCTGTCCTCCTCGAGATCTTGTGACCAGCCAGCATCTTTCAGAAGCTTTTTGGGAATTGTTCTTGCAGGGGACCATCAAATATGTTTCCCTTCCTTTCCGGATTTTTTATTCTCGCCTTTTCGTTGTCTCAAAGAAAACCGGGGATTGGCGGCCTGTAATCGATTTATCTCAGTCGCTTTGTTTCACTACTCTGGTTCACCATGGAGCCTTTTCTCACCCTTTAAACCTTACTTTTTACTTTGCTTCTCATTTTCGTCGTCCAATTGAGGAGATTCTGCAGTTCAGCATGTGGACCACACCCAGTACGTTCAACTCCCACTATCTCCATTATGTCGTGGTTTCTTCTTCATCTGATTTCGTCTACCTAATTGGTAAGTTTTTATTCATACTTTCTTTTTAGGGGCCTTTCCCTATTTATTTATCCCATTGATCCTGCTCTGTGGCAAGTGGTGTCTCACCAGGCATTCTTTTACTCAAAATCTGCACTGTCATACTATGTTGACTCTTGCTTTATCTTCCATGGCTTTGCATGCTCACTGTTGAGATGGGATGTTCCACAAGATTGCGTGTTGGTGCATGGGTAAAGCAGAAGAGGATTGCTGCCCATTCTTGCCATGCCTGAGGTGAATAACTCAGTATGGTGTGCTTTTCAAAATAAGGTTACAGTTTGAAGTAATTCTAGAAAGAGAAAAAGGGTAATTTAAATTTATTTATATTTTTTGTGTGTGTGTGGTGATTACGAGGTCAGTCAAATTGACCAATCTCGTATAGAGTTAGGGGTAGAGAAAATAACAGATAAAATATAAAGTTTTACTGAAAACAAATGTTTGAAATGTATTTAGGAGGTTTTAGGAATTATACAAAGGAAATTTGAGATTTATGAGATGAGGAAAAGTATGTTTAATCTTAACATGAAAATCACTTTGCACACAGACTTTTCAAAACAAACACTCAATATATTCATGAACAAATCTTTATTTTAGTTTATTAAAAATATTTCACTAAGAAATATGATTTTTTGACTGCCAAATTTTGTGAAGATATACACACTATATTGAAAGTTAGAAATATTAAATCTATAAAGACTAAATGAGTACAAAGAGGTCATGTGGTCAGTCAGATTGACTGAGCCTATGTCGAGAAATTTAAGAGAGGAATGTTTTCTAAACTTTTTTTCATTTGGGTTCAGTTAGGTTCCACTTTGGTGGTTGTTACAGTTGACTAGGTGCCTTCACTGTACATATATAGTTCAGTGTAAGATTGAATGAAAGGTTTATATTTTGTACATATGTAGTTCAGTGTAAGATTGAATGAAAGGTTTGAATTTTGTACATATGTAGTTCAGTGTAAGATTGAATGAAAGGTTTGAGTTTTGTACATATGTAGTTCAGTGTAAGATTGAATAAAGGTTTGAATTTTGAACATATGTAGTTCAGTGTAAGATTGAATCAAAGGTTTGAGTTTTGAACATATGTAGTTCAGTGTAAGATTGAATCAAAGGTTTGAGTTTTGAACATATGTAGTTCAGTGTAAGATTGAATCAAAGGTTTGAGTTTTGAACATATGTAGTTCAGTGTAAGATTGAATAAAAGGTTTGAATTTTCTACATGTGTAGTTCAGTGTAAGATTGAATGAAAGGTTTATATTTTGTACATATGTAGTTCAGTGTAAGATTAAGAGTACTTTATGTAACGTTTACCTACAACAACATTAATGAATGTTGGATAAAATAATCTTCATTTCCTCAACTCTCTTTGTTTTCTCTGAAAGTTGCAATCTTTACCTTGTATATGAAGTTCTTTTTGTGTTGGATGTTTTGCTGTATGGTTTGTGTGTTAATTTTCATTCATTTGTGAAGCTGTTTTTAAAATAATAGTGATGGAAATAGCCATTCTAATATTCACATTTCAGTACTGTCTCCGACTATGTGTAATTCAAATTCTTATTTTCTTATTGAAGTTTTTTCTAAAGTCAGTAAGTGTTAGATCTAAAACTTTATTTGATGAGAACGTGGATAGTCCAACAAATGTTAAGTGTTTTGACTTCAAAAGTTTTTACATAACTTGGCAAGAACTTCAAAATTGATTACCATTAGATTGCCATGATGGTTTCTTAGAATTCACTTTGATATGTTTTAAAACATGAGGACACAGTGGGTGTAGTAAACACAAATTAGATATATTATGTTCAGAGATCAAAGTAATTAAAATACTGCACTTGGTATTTTCCTGTGTGTTTGCTAGTTGAGTGATTAGCACGTGAAGAGTTTGTTTCAGTGGATAATGTTCTAGATCAAAGTTGGGTGATTAGCACTTGAAGAGTTTGTTTCAGTGGATAATGTTCTAGATCTAAGTTGAGTGAATAGCACTTGAAGAATTTTTTTCAGTGGACATTATTGTAGATCTAAGTTGGGTGATTAGCACTTGAAGAATTTGTTTCAGTGGAAGAGTTTCAGTGGATAATGTTCTAGATCTAAGTTGGGTGATTAGGACTTGAAGAATTTTTTTCAGTGGACAATATTGTTTTCAGTGGATAATGTTCTAGATCTAAGTTGAGTGATTAGCACTTGAAGAGTTATTTTCAGTAGATAATGCTCTAGATCTAAGTTGGGTGATTAGCACTTGAAGAGTTTGTTTCAGTGGATAATGTTCTAGATCTAAGTTGAGTGATTAGCACTTGAAGAGTTTGTTTCAGTAGATAATGTTCTAGATCTAAGTTGGGTGATTAGCACTTGAAGAGTTTGTTTCAGTAGATAATGTTCTAGATCTAAGTTGGGTGATTAGCACTTGATGAGTTTGTTTCAGTAGATAATGTTCTAGATCTAAGTTGGGTGATTGGCACTTGAAGAGTTTGTTTCAGTGGATAATGTTCTAGATCTAAGTTGGGTGATTATCACTTGATGAGTTTGTTTCAGTAGATAATGTTCTAGATCTAAATTGGTTGATCA